TCACCTGAAAAGTGTACATTGTATCCATTAAGTAATTTCTGAGGCCTCACCTCCCTCCCACCCTTTTACTCTTCCAACTCTGCAATGTCTATTTTTCCACACTCTTTGTCCATGTATACACATGACTTAGCTCTCACTTATGACTACATGTGATATTTCATTTTCTGTTCCTGAGTTGTTTCATTTAAAATAATGGTCTCCAGTTCCTTTCATATTGTTGCAAGAGGTATGGTTTCATTTTTAAATGACTGAACAGTACTCCATTATATGTAGAATATATACTACACACACATATATATAAATATAATTTAAAAATTCATTCATTGATGGACACTTAGATTGATTACTTATCTCTGCTATCATGAATAGGGTAGTGACAAACATATGAGTGCAGGTATCTTTTTGATATTATTGTTTTTTCTTTTCCTTTAGGTAGATACCAGTAGTGGGATTGCTGGATAGAATGGTAGTTCTATTTTTAGTTCTTTGGGAACACTGCATACTGTCTTCCATGGGGCCTGTACTAACTTACAGTCCCATCAACAGTCCATTAGCATCATTTTTAACCTGGATCCTCATCAAGATCTGTTATCTTTTGACTTTTTAATAATAGCCATTCTGGCTGGGGTTAGATGATATCTCATTGTATTTTTAATTTGCTTTCTCTGATGATTAATAATAGTGAGCATTTAAAAATATGCTTCTTGGCCATCTATATGTCTTCTTTTGAAAAATATCTATTCATGTACTTTCCTCACTTTTTAATGGGGTTACTTGTTTTTTGTTGTTGCTAAGTTGTTTGAATTCCTTGTAAATTCTGGATATCAGTCCCCTGTTGGATGCATAGTTTCCCATTCTGCAGGTTGTCTGTTTACTGTTGGTTATTTCTTTTGCTATGCAGAGTTTTTTAGTTTAATAAAATCCCATGTGTTTATTTTTTGTTTTTGTTGCTTGTGCTTTTGAGGTTTTAGTCATGAATTCTTTGCCTGGATCAGTGTCCACGAGAGTTTCCCCTAGGGTTTCTTCTAGTATTTTTTTAGCTTCAGGTCTTACTTTTTAAGTCCATTTTGAGCTGATTTTTGTGTATGGTGGGAGACAGCGGTCCTGTTTCATTCTGCATATGGCAATCCAAATTTTCCCAGCACCATTTATTGAAAAGGGTATCCTTTCTCCAGTGTAAGTTTTTGTTGACTTTCTCAAATATCAGTGGACTTAAATGTGTGACTTTATTTCTGGGTTCTCTATTCTACGTGTCTATTTTTATAACAATACCATGCAGTTTTGGTTACTATCCAGGGGTGTCTAATCTTTTGTCTTCCCTGGACCACATTGGAAGAATAAGAATTATCTTGGGCCATATATAAAATACACTAATAGTAACTGGTGAGCTTAAAAGAAAAATCCCCAAAAGTCTCATAATGTTTTAAGAAAGTTTACAAATTTGTGTTGGGTTGCATTCAAAGCCATCCTGGGCTGCATGCAGCCTGTGGGCTATGGATTGAACAAGCTTGTCATAGCCTTATAGTATAATTTGAGGTCAGGTAATGTGACATCTCTAGCTTTGTTCTTTTTATGTAGGATTGCTTTGGCTATTGGGGCTCTGTTTTAGTTCCATATGAATTTTAGAATTGTTTTTACTAATTCTGTGAAAAATGATATTGGTATTTTCATAGGGATTGTATTGAATCTATAGATTGCTTTGGATATTACGGTCATTTTAATGATATTGATTCTTCTGATCTATGAACGTGTGATGTTTTCCATTTGTTTGTGTCATCTACAGTTTTTTTCATCAGTGTTTTGTAGTGTTCCCTGTAGAGCTGTTTTACTTTCTTGGTTAAATATATCTTTATTTGGTTCTCAATTTAATCATTACTAGTGTGTAGAAATGGTATTGATTTTTGTACATTAGTTTTGTGTTTTTAAATGTTGCTGAATTCACTTACCAAGCTCTTGGCTCAAATGGTTTCCCTTCAAGCTTTGCCTGACTGCTTAATCCAAAGTCCTCCTTTCTGAGGTCTTCAATTGGTGATTTCTAGTAACTATCACAAGGAGTAGTTTCAGTGTCCACTTATTACCGTATAAAATGATCTTGCTTATGTATTTCTTTTACTTACTGACTTATGGAACAAGGCCTTGCCTGTTGCACTAGTACTTCTAACACTCCCTGGTATGGGTTGGATGAATACATGCATAAAGTAACCTTATAAGACAGCTTCCTCCAGTATTATCACATGGGCCAGTATTTCTCAGGATCATTTTAGTTGTCCTTAAAGAAACGCAGATTCTCAGCAAATATTCAGATGCACATGTGTGGTGATACACTTGATAAAAGTTGCACATTCTATGCTGACTTTTCATCAAGTCAATAGAATTAATGGCTAATTCTATCATCATAACTATTTGTGACTGTCATTGGGAATGAGAGAAACTGGCCGAGTGATTTTGTGTGACCGATTAATGTTGGAAAGTATTGAGACAAAACAATAGAAGTATTTTTTTTAAGAAAAAAATATAAGAGTAATAAAAATACAAAATAAGTTTTCACAAAATTTGTTTCTCAGGAAATTATTAGTTGGCTTTTCTTTGATTTTTCTTAAGTGGGATTGTTCCCTAAACAATTCCACTCAAGGAAAGGAGGGCAGTATTAGGAGGGAAAGCATACTGATTTTTTTCTGTACCCCTCACTGAACTCCCTCTACATGAAGGAGAATGACATAATTTAATGGTGAGATAGGGTCAGGAAGTTATTCATTGGCTCATAATTTAATAATAGGTAGAGATACCATGCACAGTCTCTCTCTGGCATTTCACAGGGGCTGTTATACAGTCCATGATGCTCCATGCAGTTAGTTGGGTAAGAGATATTTGCAGATTCAGATTTTCCCAAGATAGGTCCCAAGGTCTAGTATTGGGGAGCTTTGCTATTGCTTGAATACAGCTAATGCCAGAGAGTGCTAAATATATTTGATAGTTTATTTTGATCCCCGTTTAGTTTCCTTTGTCTGTTTTTCAACTCACTGGAATTCATAGGGAAAAGAATAAGAGAGTGGGCTTTCTAGAACCTCCAGCACCACAATTCCCACGTCCTTCTACAAATGAGAAGGCTTCTTTAGTTTGGTAGGTAAAGAACAATTTAGAGAATATGTGAAAATTCCATGTTATTATCATCAAAGCACAATGCGTGTTTTAAGTAAAGTAAAAATGTAGGATTTAGAAATGGCTTTTATTCAGAACCTGAAGTTGTGGCAGTTAAATGATTCCTGTGACTCTGCAGTATTTTTGCCATGTGAATCTGGAGCCCAGCTCAGTAAGACACTGCCTTTGGCTAGAATCACCAAAGCATTAACAAGTAAACATTTCCGGTTGTCAACTATTAAGCAACATACTGTTTTCCTTTATTTTCACTAATTCTATACATCTCTGCAATGAAATGGTGAAGACTGCTTGTGGTAATTGTTGGGTTTCTATATTTGTCTTAGAAATGGACACTTCATCAACACCAAAGTGCTATTTTATAGGTGCTATGTTTGCACATGGAAAGTAAAATCAAATTTTTTTTTAATTTTTCACTTTAATTTGACCCCACTATAAGCTCCAAGGGCTCTAGCAATCTCATTTGACTAAAATTCAGATTAAACAATGGGCCAACATACTTTGATATCTAAGAATAAATGGTAGAGCCTGTTGTGAGTTGACAATAAATTCTTCTTGTGTATAAAGATGCTCAAGAAAAAGTATCTCTTAAGCAATGAAAGGACATTTCCACTAAGAGATAATAAAGGCCAATACTATCTTGTCTTAAGAAAAAAGCCTATGGATCTTTTAAATATCAAGAATGGGATTTGCCAAAATTGCCTACAATTTTGGAAAGTAAAAAATTTTAATACAAATCACAATCTTGATTATTTCAGCTTGTGACATTTCTTATATAAACTTTACGCCTTATCACCTTCTGACTATGATATGCAAGAGGACTGATAAATAATGATGCAGATCTTTGTTTTTTATTATCCTAGGTTTACAGAATCAGAAGTCAAACCTACCCATTTTGTAATCTAATCAATTTTCTTTGGTTTAACACCAAGACTAAGGCATCCCCTTCCTAGGCTCTTCCAGCTTATCTGAACTTAGAGTTTTAGTCATTCATGTAAAGCCTTTCATGCTGGTTTTTTATTTGAAAATGGGTCCCAGCTGCTCTGCCTTTCTTAATTCCTCCCAGAAAGGCATATGTGACAGCATCTCCCCCTGGGAGACTGCAGCTCCAAAGCTTTTTCTCCTAGGTAGGGAAAGTGCAAAGCCAGACACTATTGTCACACTTACTTCCCCAGCTGGCTAATTAGATCAATATACAGTTTATATTTTGATGGATAGACAGGCATATAAGAATAGTGTGTGCATATATATATATGTGTGTGTATAAGGCATATAAATATATATAGAGAGATGATGGAAATTTTTGTTTAATTAGCATTTTAAAAACTTCTATCAGGTTCTAGCATATAATAAGTGTTCAATAAATATTCAATGAATACTTGAAAATGTGAAGCGATAAAAGTATTATTACATAGCCAGTATAGGAAATTTTGTAAGTTTAAATATTTCCCTATATTTCATCTTTAAAATAAGATTGAAAGCTAAGTATTGGACTTATATATTTTAAATCCAATCAAAGAGCTAAAGACTATGAACACATTCTCTAGCTTCTTTTTATAATTATATAAACTTAGTTTTGAACCTTTTCCCTCAGAACTTTAAATTATTATCTCTTATCTATATTTGATATTATTAAATCATTCACTTTTACATTTGGAAATTTTTAAACCAAAGAATTGAAAGTATAGTTTAATTTGTATACCTGTTTATAAATAGTATATAAAATTTTGTTCTGGAATAAAGTTATTATAGACTGTATTCTTTTATATTATGCCAGTGATATATAATAGCATACACTTTCTTTATACTCAGAGTAGATACTTAGATTCTTTTTTCTTTTCACATGTCACAGGTAATGTGCTGATATCATAACAAGGTTTGAGGGAGGCCCATCTCATGATTATGTGAAAACCCAATTATCATGCTTATGAACCACAAAAGAATCTAGATACTCCTTCTCTTTATTTTTATTTTTGAGACAGAGTGTCGCTCTGTCACCCTGGATGGAAGCTGGAGTATGATCTTGGCTCACTGCAATCTCTGCCTCCCTGGTTCAAGTGATTCTTCTGCCTCAGCCTCTCAATTAGCTGGGACTACAGGCACATGCCACCACGCCTTGCTAATTTTTGTATATTTAGGGGGGGTGTCACCATATTGGCCAGGCTGGTCTCAAACTCCTGACCTTATGATCTGCCCACCCCAGCCTCCCAAAGTGCTGGGATTACAGACATGAGCCACTGTGTCCAGCCAGGGTCTAGACACTTATGTTTTTATATACTTGTTTCTTATATTGAATAGTACAATTCAAATTCCATTCTTGAAGCTTAAAGATAACACTGGAGCTGGCCAAAGCTAGTAAAATATATGATTGTGAATGGAATTTATTAAAATATAGGTACAGTAAGCATCCTAAAGCTTTAAATCTTCTGAAGCAATGACAAGCTGACATTTTGCCAGTGCTAATTTGTCTTTGTCTATTGATTTACGCTTTATTGGGCATTCTATTGTCTCTTCTAGGGAAGGCATAAGAGGAATACAGAACAGTGAAGCCTTTATTCAAGATAATGTTATACTCATGAATCACATCACCTAATACCTGCGCTGCTTAGACATGCAGAACTTAAAGCATCTTCTCAAAGTATCTCAGAAAAAGATATTTCTCCCTATACACAAAAGTTGAAACTTGTTTTGCACAATCACTTCTTGGTACAGTTACAACTGAAAATTCTCAGCTGTATTCCACTACTTTAAATAGACTTCTGCATCATTGAAAGAAATTTTCCAAGTCAGTATAGCCTTAAAACCTAGTCAATCTTTTCAACATTTTGAATGAATAGAAGCTCATTCCCCTTATTACTACTTATTGCTACTGTCTCTAATTGCACACCCTCTTTGAGCACATTATTGAGTGAGGATAAAACAGCATGCATTGTTTTTTGTGCAGCAAAAGCATTAAAATATTATATGTTCAAGGCAGAATAAGAAATTTTTGTAGACAAATGGAATGGTGGTCTCATTTTTCATCCTTATTACAGGCTAAGCATAACAGTCATGGTGACTATGACTGACTGAGCAACTGATTTACATTTCTCCTTTACTACATTTCTTGCCCTGGTTGACTGACATAAAGGGTATTTGTCCAATTCACTGCTCTCAGGAGAGTCAGCTTCTTATTTTCTGTGCAGTTAGAAACACCAAATCTTGTTTTTATGCCTTAATACCATCTACTAGCTGTCAATACAAAGCCTTTAAATATAGTGCTTTGCAGAAGAGGGATTTAGATCCACGATTTCTACAGTTTAGAAGAGGATAACCCTATGAATGTGGTTCAAAAATTTACATTTGTTTCTTAACACAGGTATTGATCATGATTTTTTACTTTGGTAAACTTTAGATTTGAAGGTAAAATAAGCTGATGTCTAACTTCTTTGTGTGTTTTAAAAATGGCTTAAATGAGGGAGGTCTGTTGGTTACTGCAGCAGAATGAATAGAACAGCAGGATAGCACAGAAGCTGAAAAAGCATGTTCTTATAGCATCTCAGTGGGGTTGAAAGTAGTTACTATTCTTTTATCCAAAAAGAAAATAGGACATCATAAGTTCATGATATCCACTTAGAGTTATCTATTATTTCTCTTTAGTATCTTAAAATGTAAAGTTTTGTAAATAGATCACCAAACACGTGAAAAATTTAAAGCTATTCTGTTTTCTTTTTTATTAAAATGAAGAGATCAAACCTAAAACAAAAATTTAAAAATAGTAATAAAAGAAGAGATGAGCCACTGCTCTTCTTGCTGAACAAGTTATTTACCTAAAGGACAGCCTTGCTTTGGTTCTTACCTGGTTTGTTAGATCTTCCTTTTACCGATGGAAGGTGTTCTCTTGTGGTAAGTAGGGTAAACTGTAAACTTAATTAATAACCAAAAGTAAGCTGCAGATTTATCTTTAATCAAACCACAGGACAACTTTAACTAATCTGTGTTTACCAGACAGTACCTTTAGGCTAAAAGTAGGGACAGCCAGTATAATGGCTAAATACTGAAGAGGAGTGGACAAGAAGGGAAGAACAATCTGAAAATTCACTACTTGATGGTATAATTGTGAAAGACAGGCTTTTAGGATCACATGGTGTTAGAACCAGGTCACTTAGTTCAACCCACGGATTGTATAGAAGTAAAGCCTGATCCCGGAATAATGAAGGGGCACCCACTCAAATGTGAATGGACTGGCCATTGGAGGCTGAGGGATGTAGCACACTGCACTCTTCTCAGTTTCAGATTATTGCTGGGAGGAAGCAAAATGGGATCAGAGCTACCAGTCTTCAAGGGAAGGCGTAAATCTAGATGTTAATGTAAAATTTCCCAATTTTAATATATTGGCTAGTACATAATTTAAAATTTTTGAAACCTTAAGCCATACAATATGTCTGTGAGTCTCAAGCTTATAACTTTTGGGTGAAGACATGTGACATAGTCCATAAAATTCTTCTTTAACTAATAACTACAAACATAAACATAAGAGTTTTACAAAAACTACAGTAACCAAAACAGCATGGTAATGCTACAAAAACAGAAACATAGATTAGTGGGACCGAATAGAGAGCCCAGAAAAAATGCTGCATACCTATAATCATCTGATCTTCAAGAAAATCAGCAATAACAAGCATTGGGGAAAAAAATCCCTATTCAATAAATGGTACTGGGATAAATGGTTAGCAATATGTAGAAGATTGAAACTGGACCTCTTCCCTGCACCATACACAAAAATCAATTCAAGAAGGACTAAAGTCTTAAAAATGAAACCTGAAATCATAAAACTCCCAAAACATAAGGTAGGGAATAACATTCTTGAAATAGGTCCTGGCAAAGATTTCATGATGACACCCAGTGCAGTTGCAATAAAGAAATTGAGACATGGGACTTATTAAAGAGCTTCTACACAGCAAAAGAAACTATCAACAGAGTAAACAGACAACCTACAGAATGGGAGAAAATGTTTGCAAACTATACATCTGACAAATGTCTAATATCCAGCACTTTTAAGGAATTTAACAAACAAAAAGCAAACAACCCCAGTAAAAAGTGGGCTAAAGATGTGAACAGACACTTTTGAAAGAAGACATACGTGTAGCCAAAAAGCATATGATAAAAGGTTCAGCATCACTAATCCCTGGAAAAATGCAAATCAAAACCACAATGAGATACCATCTCATACCAGTCAGAATAGCTATTAATAAAAAGTCCAAAATTAACAGATGCTGGTGAAGTTGCAGAAAAAAAGGAACACTTAGACACTGCTGATGGGAATATAAGTGAGTTCAGCCATTGTGGAAAGCAGTTTGGCCATTTCTAAAGAACTTAAAATAATTACCATTTGACTCAAATCCCACTATTGGGTATATATCCAAGGAAATGTAAATCATCCTACCATAAAAACACATGCCCACATATGTTCACCACAGCCCTGTTCACAATAGCAAACACATGGAATCAACCTAAATGCCTATTTTTATTTTATTTTATTTTTATTTTTAAATTTTGTTATTGCATTTTAGGTTTTGGGGTACATGTGAAGAACATGCAAGATAGTTGCATAGGTATACACGTGGCAGTGTGATTTGCTGCATTCCTCGCCTTCACCTATATCTGGCATTTCTCCCCATGCTATCTCTCCCCCAAGTGGATAAAGAAAATGTGGTATGGTATAATGTGGCCATTGAAAAACAGGATTATGTCCTTCACAGTAATGTGGATGGAGCTGGAGGCGATTATTCTAAGTGAACTAATGCAAGAACAGAAAATCAAATACTGCATGGCATGTTCTCACTTTTAAGTGGGATTTAAACATTGAGAATACATGGACACAAAGAAGAGAACAACAGACACCAAGGCCTACTTGAAGGTGAAGGGTGGGAGAAAGAAGAGGATGAAAAAGCTACCTGTTGAGTACTATGCTTATTAAGCGGTGATGAAATAATCTATACATGATACTCCCATGATACATAATTTACCTATATAACAAGCCCTCACATATACCCCTGAACCTAAAATAAAAGTCAAAAAATTTGTAATGCAATGAATAGTTGTTGAGTACTTGCTGGGTGACTTGCAGTTTTATTTGATGCTGTGGTGAATAGGGAAGAGATAATTTCACTTATGTCTTCCAAAAGATTATAATTTGCCAGAGAGAACCCAAGTATTCGCAAAACAACCAGAAGACATAGATAAGTATATGCTTCATGGCTTGGGGATGAGTGATCATGTTGCCTACACTTTAGAAAAAGGAGAGAATGATTCAATAAATGCTCAGCGATTTTATGGATGCCATATTTAGAGGCATAGACTGTGAAGTTCTAACTTGCTGTACTCCCTACAATATGTGTGCATACTCAGTACCCAGTCAGGTTACCAAGGGTTGGTCTGTCCTTGTTTCCATGTTCAAGACTCATAAATCAAGAGGTCTAGACTCATATTCAGCTGTCTCACAAAATGAGATTTTGTCTCATTCAGAGCTTTTGTCTCCTAAACCAGTCTCCTTCCTCTATTATTTAGGATTCTTTCTTACTCAAGACAGAAAGTTCAACCTGAGCTGGCTTAAACTATAAGGACATTTCTTACATAACATCCTGATTGGGGATGATATGGGGAGAACAGAGGTTGTTTAATTCAGCAGATCAGTGATGTTGCCAAAGTCCCATTTTTTTCCCACTATTTTATTTTTTCATCTTTATTGGCTTTGCCCTCAGACTGGCCTCCTTCATTTTCATGAGGTATCTGCTGAAGGGTGTGTGCCCTTCTGGACATCACATCCAAACTGTGTTTAGAGGAAGAAAGGGACTGTTTCTTTCTGTGTCTCTGTCTTATGAGTGAGGAAACCTCTTATGGAAGCTCTCTAAAATATTTCGCCTCAAGTCTTAGTGATCAGGATGGAATCACAAATCTATTCC